TCTGAGCCCATTTAAGAGTGAGATATCCAAGCCAGAAGAAAAGAAATCATAACCCAAAGGGGTGGGTGGTTTGGCCCAATTGAGGGTTGTTTCTTCTTGCCTTGTCATGGTCTCACCCCAAGTTGGCTGTCTGGGCTTGCATGTATGCTGGGGGTCGGGTAGGCTGCCTTCCTGAGGCTACTTTCTATGAGCATGGCTGCTATCTTAGTTACTTTTCTTGTTGCCGAGACAAAAGCACCAGACACCCAAAGTTAAAGGAAGAAATGTTTTTTCACTCATGGTTTGTAAAGGTTTTAGTCCACCGCTGGCTCCAAGGCAGGGAGGCACAACAGCGGGGCATGGTGGAGGAGAAATAGTCCATGGCAAACAGGCAGAAGAGGGTGAAGCAGCAAGCAGCAGCAGCAGCAAACCTGCCTTCCCTCGCTCCCTTTATATTCCATCTGGGATATAAGCCTACTGATTAGTCTACGCATGCCCAGGATGGGGCTTCCATTTAGCCACACCTAGAATTATGCTAAGTCCATTTAGTTATCACACACTTAACCCTGGTACCACAAGGTCTACATCCAGCCACCTCCAAAAAGCTACACCTATGAGTGCATGAGACTTTGGGAGAACATCTAGGTCTAAGCCATAACAGCTGCCAGGGGCATCAGCTCCTCCTTGGGGCCTCCTGAGAGAGGAGTGTCTTCCTGCCCCAATTTAGTTGCTAGTGCTCCTCCTCTTGCTTCTTCTCTACTGTAGTTCAATATCCCTTATTCATCATGCTCTAGATTTGAAGGGTTTCAGATTTGGGGATTTTTTGGATTTTGAAATATTTTAAAATACATAATGAGATACAGTGGTACCTCGGTTCACAAACTTAATTTGTTCCATGATTTTGGAAAAGATGGCCACTTTTGTGCTTGTGTGGGAAAGATGGCCAGGGTCATGTTTGTCACCTGATGTAGAGTTTGCAAACAAAAACAAAATTTTGCCAAATGCTTTTGCTTGTTTGCAAACAAAAGTTCTCGTGAACCGAGGTACCACTCTGTCTTGGGGTGGGAACCCAAGTCTGTTTCATACACATGCATTACACATGTGGCCAGGAGACAATTTTATACCACATTTTGAACAATTTTGTAAGCAGAGCTTGTATACATTGAGCCACCAGAGGGTAGGTGTGGAATTTCGTACCTGTGGCATCCTGTCTGTGGTCAAAAAGTTTCAGATGTTAGAACACTCCCATTTTCAGATTTTCAGATTAAGAATGCTCAGCCTGTATGATGTTTGTCATCTTTTATTTCCAGTCCCAAAAAAGAAAGGAGCTACATTCCCTTTTCCCATAAGGCAGGCAGAGGTGAGCTTTCTCACAGCGCAGCCTTGGAGCAGGTATAGGGCTCATGGTAACCATCAGCGCTGTGTGGGGTCACAGGCTGTGGCATTCGCTGCAGGACTCTGCTCACTTTGGCTGAGCTTCACTAAGTGGCTCTCTGCTGTAGGTTGGATGCATCTGCTCTTATTTTCTCTGCACTAACAGGCTGTTGTTCTTTTCTTTTTATGGCAATAGCGGAGGAGTGGGAGGGCTGAGCAGAAACAAAACCCAGCTCAGAACCATTAGCCAAAGCAAGTCAGTAGCCAGACCCACAGCTAAGGGGAGGAGAGAGCCAGCCAGCTTTTAGTGGAAGGAACACAGATCAGAGAAGGGCAAAGGATGGGGGTAAATTATTCAGCTTTCCAGAAGCATAATTGCTGAGCTGGAAACCGTAAGCATTAGGAGAAATGGACAAGCAGGAGAAAATCTGCAGAAAAGCTCATTAATAAAAAGACAAACGGGCTGGGGATTTAGCTCAGCGGCACAGTGCCTGCCTGGCAAGCGCAAGGTCGTGAGTTCGATTCCCAGTACTGGAAAAAAAATAAACAAACAAAAAAAAGACAAACAAAAACAGCACAATAATGCAGAAGGAAAGGAAGAAGAGAATAGAAATAATGTGAGCAACTTCATCCAATTTAGAATCTGATCTTGATAGAATAGAAATCTCAGAAACTGCTTATGGCTTGCATGTGGCAGAACCACTAAGTAAAGGAATTATAAAAGAAACATCCTTGTTTGAAGCAAAACGTTAATCTGTACGTCTTTAGCTTTGGGCCTACTGGTCTAAGTCACTCTAGCAATAAATGCAACCTAATGCAGACTTTCAAGTGTTTTTAGGAGTTAGGCCCTGTCTAATTCGTTATGTATGGGCCACTTTGAATATGACAGAGATGTGAAATAAAGCATGGAACTTTGCACTTAGCCATGTGTCTGTTTCTCTAGATGTCTTCAAGAAGAAACAACATAATCACCTTTCTAATTCTAAGATTCTTTATAAAACCAGCAGCTGTACAAGAAGTTACAGGTTTACAGACACACTTTTCCCTTCTTTGTTTCCTTACCTCTCTCCCTTCCTTCTATTTTTTTCTCTTTTGTTTTGTTTCTTGCTTTTTGTTTTGCTGTACTGGGGATTGGACCCAGGGCCTTTGTATTGAACTGCATCCTAATCCTTTTCATTTTGATAGAGTCTCACTAAGTTGCCCAGGCTAGGCTTGAACTTGTGATTCTCCTGCCTTAGCCTCCCAGAGTCCTGGCATT